TCTTTAAGCTCATGCTTTACTTTGTTCTGGTGTGATTTCCTAAATTTGTGTGCTCAAAAATAAATAAATAAATAAATAAATCAAGCACGTCATTGACACCTTCAGTTATTACAGTACACTTTATTAAAATGGACTATTTAACTCTTGAACTAGGTGTATTTGAGCTTTTAAAAATTATTTTTATTTCACTCTAGAAAGAGTTTCTAGATAAGTCTTTTCCATTTTGATGTATTATTGTTTTTACAGTGAAAATGAATGTCCTCACTGCAACCAAAACGGGTCTTGATTCGGGTTCAACGCACAACTGGAAAGAAATGATTTGTCAGTGCTAAGGACTCCTACTGAACAGGATGTCTAATTGGTATGTGAGTGAAGCAGCCCTAGCCAGGCTGAGAAACTGAATACATTAGTGTGTCCATTCCAGATTCCTCTCTCAGAGGTGTCCTATCTTACCTGTTGAAATTGCCCGTTAGAGGAAGAGAGACAGAGCTCATCACTATGAAAGGATATCTTCTAACTTTAAAATCTGAATCAATAAAAGTTGGTAGGGAAGAATTCATTTGGGAATTATGGTATGTATCAGCCTAAGGATAACTTCCTAATTGAAAAGCTCTGATTAAAAATAAAATCCTGTCTCGTATGTCACCAATACTGGAAGTGTTTAAATTCACTAGGAACATCCTTGAGTCATCTTAGAGATCTCCACATGTCCAGAAAGCAAGCTGGAGAAACTACCTACATAGCTCTCTACCATGCATAAATTAATGATACTCAAGCACTCATTGTTACTGGGACTGATCCAGTAACTGCATCATAAATATTCCAGTGCTCATGAAGCTTCTCAGGTTTTCCACAAAATCTGTTCTACTTAAAAAAAAAATATAAATACAACAGATGCTGGTTTTCTTGTAAAAGCCATGGCTGAAATGATTAGTGTATTAAATCAGCATGGGAGTATATAACCACCATTGGCAAATGGCTTGGATAACACCACCTGTTAGATAAGGATATGACTGCACACACTGTGTGTGGGGATTGAATAGACAAAACCGTACGGAGAGTGTACAAAAATAATCATGTTAAGAATAAAGACGGCCATCTACCCTCAGCTGTCAGTGTTAAGCAGCAATGCAATCATCAGTTAGATTAATAAGTACCAAGGGATTTTCATAGACTTTTGAAGTACAGAAGAAGGCAACCTGAAAAGAAGGATTAAAAACAAAAGCAAAACCAAAACAACAAAAAAAAAACATGCAACACGGGTCTTACACCTGCCATGGTGGCTCTGTTCTATCAACTCACTCCCAGCTCAGACAAGGTAGCACAGCTGCCCCATGGACCAAGTGGGAGCAGCCTACACCTTGCAGTGGAGTGTCAGCATGAGGGCAGCACTCAGAGGCACCCTAATGCTGGGTGCAAGGGACCTGGTTTTCTCACACAGAACTGGAGTCCTCACATCTGCTGCAGGGGATGAGCAAGTGGGGAGCCTATATTACACCAGGGTAGGGGAGGGTGTGTTAATGTGACCCAGACCAGCAGCAATGATGCTCTGTGCAGTGGGAGCGGGGAGGGGAGTGAAAATTTGGGGGGTTTGATTACAAGAGTTTTAGAAGTGTGTATATACTTATTAGTGGTGGTTTTTATTGTTTTGTTTTGTTTTTGGATCTTCTCTTTGATCTTCCCAGGAAGATCAAATTCCCAGGAAAATCAAATTCATATCTGAAAATACCCTACTCAGTCCTAGCCTTAAATTTCTCTCACTGGCTTTGTGAGCAAAAGAGAAAATACAAGGATTGCATCAGATTGTATCTGTTTATTTATTTTATTTATTTACGATTATCAGAAAGACATAGAGATATATTAAGGTCCAAGGCACATTTCTCTTATGTCATTCCTGTAAGCAACTCTAAATTTACATATTTTCAATAAAACATAGTTTTGCCTGGTTATCTGTACAGTCAATGCAGAGTAACAGGCTGCAATTTATTTGTGATGTTTTAGAAAACTATTTATGGATTAAATTAACTATATTTTAAAATACTGTTTTTTCCATTTTTTATAAGGGGAATCTAACAGATTAAATTAAGTTTGGTCAGATGAAAACTACTTGTACTGTTAAAAAAATTTTGGTAGCCTTCCAGCCTACTGAAAATGCCTATGAACACCCTTCTGCTTTGTGTTTCCTTTAGCTTCTGGGTATGGGTTAATTTGGATTGCCTTCTTCTGACATGCCAAACTTTTAATTTAATCTTATTAAGACTGTTTTGGATTGTTATCTTTGTACAGATGAGAAAAAGGCAGGTGATGTGATCCTTACATCTTTGTTGAATCCATCAATGACTGCCACTTTAGCTTGAAGATTATGATAGACTTTTGGAACATATTGATTTTTTAAAATTTGATTTTCTCACTAATCTGAACTTTTTTATCTTTCATTTCATATTTGACATACATCAAATACTTTGTTATCAATGCAAACTGGAAAAGTTCTTTAAAGAACAAAAATAAAATTATATGGCTGCAGTAGGACACTTACACTGACATGTAGATATCCACATTCAACTTGTTGCCCTGAATCAGGAACAGCAAAACCTGAAAAACCTTCAGGTATTATAGGCCATGTTAGCTCATCTGCTTAGCAGCAGAGGTCATGATGAGCATATCACCCCAGTGGTCCATTATCTCCTCATGAAATTCAGAGACTAAATCAAGGATTCTGCTCTAGTATTAAGACTCTCTACAGGATTGGCACTAACTGGCTAAAAATTGTCTTTCCCTGCACGATCCTGACCTCCCAAAACATTACATTCGGATGAGGCTCTGGCACTCTTGACCAATGGAATAAAGATCATGTGAAATATCTGACAGTACCTGGACACCTACCTATGAAGAAGAATTACTGTAATGAATGTATATATCTGTGTAAGTTATACAAATGTTGTTTCTTCTCTTTAGCTTTCCTTTCCATTATTCAAATATATGTAAGAGACAAAAAGAAAACAAACAAACAAACAAAAACTATCCAAGGGAAAACAAAAGAAAACAACAAGTTTATTTAAGTTTTCCAGTCTGACTAATAGCTTCCATGAGAAAATATCATTCAGGAAATAAACTTATTGAATAGTGGTACTTGATCACTGAAATTTCACAGAAAAACATAACTTTCATTATCAGTAAACACCAGACTTAAATAGTTGCTATTAACAACTTATCTAACACTGCAAATCTAATTAATATGTTTTAGGAAATATAACTTTTGTTAATTTTTTTTCCTTTGATGAAGTTATGCATTTTTCAAGGTAAAATTGTCTTTTTTTTTTTTTTGTATATATATATTTAAAGCAGATTTCAATAAAGTACCTCTGAATTAAATCAGTTTCCCACTTTTCCTTTACCAAAGACAGGTTACCAGCTTTCAACAAGCTGTTAATAATAATTATGTATTTTTGTACATATGATTGTACACACAGAGACATATGAATGAACCTAACGATATGCATAACCATATGTTAGTGCACACAAAGCTCAATGTGTGCATACACATATACATTCAGAGACAGTTTTTACAGAGAGATGCCTGTGTTCTCATCGAAAGTTAAAATATCAGGCACTAACTTGGATGATGTAATATAGACAAATTGGAATTTGCATATAATTGTTAAAATAAAATAACTTTTAACTTCAGTCCTATCTCATGTGTTTTGTATGAAAAAACAAACAAACAAAAAAAAAACACTTTCTTCTTGCTGGGAATTAAATTTCTGCTGAAGTATGCTAGGTTTAGCTCCTTGCATTTCAGTCTTAAATTTCTCTTGAATAATCATTAAAAGAAAGTAAAATCCAATAAAGTGATTCCTTCTAGAACTCCAGAAATACTTACAAATGCTGAAGCAAGTACTCTTTGCTAGAATAAAGATAAATACAGCTAAATATAGCTTAGAAATAATGGGATTTATTGCAGTGTTCTGGAACCAGAGCTGCAGAGTAAACAGTTCCAAAAACATTATGCTACATCATAGAATCAGAAGACTTCATAGCTTAATATCCACTTGAGAGACCTTTTTAGATAGGGGTATCAGAAAGGAACAACAGATCTGAGTCATTAAAAACACTAACTCAACAGTGTATTACTGAGCAAACTCATTTTTCCTGGACTTTACAAACAAGCTATGATTTCTGAAATATACTGAATACCTTGTTTTGATTATACTACAGTTATCTACAGATATTGCATCATAACGGAACAATCTAAGAAATATAGGCATCAGAACAGACCTCTGGTGGCTCTGAAGGGCTCTTTACTCACATAGAGTGTTGGATCACTCTATGACTGATGACAGATTGTCCCTGTTTTCCTCTTTAGAAAACAATTCTCTTAGAAAAGTTCTTTCTTCCAAGAAACCAACAATCTTATTTTCAATTCGACTATGAAATTTATATGAACAGGTTTTGGCCAATGTTTTCTTTTCAGTATCTCCTGTTTTGAAGAACCAAGGATATGGTCCAGAAGAAACAACCAATAAAAGGTACTCTGGAGATTCAGAGAACTTGTATTATCCTTTCATTGCTGATTAATATGCATTCAATGTCACAGACAAAATTAGTGCAAGTTTGGCACAGACAATGTAGGAACACCTTGTGTGTGTGCTTACATATTTATATGTGTAAAGTAATTTAATATGTATAGGTAATGCATACATTTTCATCTGCAACACAGAAAGGATAAATTGTAACCACTTTTAAATCATGGAGACCTTATTCCAATGATTGAACGTGGGGAAAAACAGCACAGAGTTTTCATTTGTAAACACAGGTAGAAATTGATACCACATAGAAGAATTATACTACAATCGATAATTTATAACCATCACAAAAATAAATAAACTAACAACATCAACAAAAAACACAACAGCATTTCAGCAGGATGATAAAACATTCAGATATATGTTGTGATAGATGTTTTCAACATTCCACAAAAATGAGTAATAGCTTTAGTGTTGTTTTTTTTTTTTTGTTTGTTTGTTTGTTTTCCTCCCCACATGCAAACCAAAGGGAAGAAAATACTATATCAGAAGTCTCTCAGAGCCACAGTGGAATATTTGTTTGGAGCTGGCCTAGGAGAAGAAACTGTATTCTGTAGAGGCTGGTTTGGAATGACAGCATTGCCACTTTATTACAGCAGATAGAGAATTGGTAGCTGATCAAACTGCCTTCTGACAACCTTCAGTGGTTATTTTTGAGGGTAAGTGGCTCATTTCACACTAGCTACACAGAACTGGGAAATGAGGTTTTGTGGAGAAGTATTCTGTGTGACAGTATTTGAAGTGACTAGGAAATGAGGTACGGGGAGATTGCTGTGCAATAGGATTGGTTACTGTAACTACTTCAAATGTTTGCCATTATACAGTACATTGACAAGCTATTTACCCAGTTTGATGTCTGTTAATTCACCATGCTTAACAAGGAAATCTGTCCTAACATAGAATAATAAAATCATTAAAAAAAAAAAATCTAAGCAGACCAAGTAATACATTTCCAACCAGAACCATGGAGTCTGTGGGCTCTTGCAAGTTTAATGTCCTTTAGGTTTAGTCCTTATATTAAGGACTAATGTTTAGCTTCTACTACAGCTTTATTTTTAACTAAACAAATATAGAAAATAGTTTCAGATAACAGCTAAATAAGAGACACAATCCTTTATAAGCACAGAAATTCATAGTAAGCATGGAAACATCATTTTCGCTTAGCAGCAGGGGACAGGGAATGACATATTAAGATACATTTACAACACAATTGTTCTCCTATGCCTCATGGGTTTTAAGATGTCTTTTGGAACATGGCAAGTTTTAACATGAAGCAAAAATCCTTGTGAAAGTCTTATATTCATCAAATAGCTTGTTAGAGACTTCACAGAAGCTGAGTTACCCTAAAACAAAGCAAAGAAAAACAGTAACTCTATTAACAAGTCAAATTTTCTAAGGTAAGTTCGTAAATTACACATTTCCAATTCATACAGCTGTATTTATCACAAAACCAAACACACCCATATACTCACAGTCAGCTAGAAAGGCATGTGGCAGACAATGAATCAGCAAGGCACAATGACTGTACCCAGTTGCTTACTTATAAGATCATATCTAAGCTTTACTTAAGTTTATATCTGTATTAGTTTTCTCAGAGCTGTAAGGCAGGAACAAATTTATTCACTATTATTAACTTTATTAGGAATATAGCCCTCATGGAGATAATAAAATGTAATGTTTTAGACTACTAGGGTGTTTATAGACAATCTCATCTTTGAAATTCTGATAATGGCAAAACTCCCATTGGCATCAAGGAGAAATTTGCCTGCCAAAAGACTGCAAGATCAACCAGACAGTATTTATAACAAATTTACAGTACATTTAAGGGCTTTTATGCCTTCAAAAATCATTTTGTGGTTTCTTACATAATAGGTCTCTTGACTTCTCATGAACTCATTTACAGATTCTTCTTCTTGGATATTAGTTTACACACTTGAGAGAAAGGTACAAATTACAATATTTTAAAGTAATGAATTTTGCACCATCTTAAGCTTCAGGGATTTAGGATAAAAATTAACCCTCAGCATTTTACTTGGTTTTGGTCCAACTCTCCACATAACCAAACAGACAAAATTCATTAATAAGGTACTTTCTGCTGGAGAGGGAGCCCATTTTTCCCTGATTATGAAACGGTAATCAGAAATACTAAGCTCTTCTATTTGCATGAAGAATACATATGCGCCTTGTGCGGTACCTCAGTCTACTTTAGTTAATGCTATTAATCTAAACATATATTTTCTACATCTTCATGAAAAGCGGAATATTCACAATGTCCTTGTAAGTCTCCTTGCTGCCCAATATTACCCAGGAGGAAGGAGAGAAAGAGAACGAAGGAGGGAAAAATATAAAATAGAAAGAGAAAGAAGGAGAGGGAAGGAAAAGGAGAGAGGGAGAAAAATGGGGGAAGAGAGGGAGAAACCCTTCCAGAGGGTGGTTCAGATAAAAAGCATAATTGAAGTATTCTTATTGGAAATTTCTATGTCAGTTGCCTATGCTTAAGTACTATTAATAACCCTGAAAATGAAGAAATAAAATAATTGAGACATTTTTGCTATACTCTGCACACTGATGATTTCACTCTGACTAAATGATATAGATTTAGACATTCTGACAGATGTTTTCTGATACAGTAACATAAGGCGGCTTTTAGTCACTTGTTAATTTTGTTCTTTTGGCCTCTAAACAACATCCTAGCAAAGTCAAATCTGAAGACGTCAAAACTACAAGCTTACAATTATTATCAGTGTTTCATTAAAGTGTTACAATTCCACTTTTCATATAAAGAAGTCTAGAACTGGATAATTGCAGCATGATTGCAGTAGTGATTTTCTCCTTCTGCCAATGACTTTGTACTGCAATTCTATTGCTCGTAACCTTTGAATGCCTGACATGTAATTTTATTCTGATTTATTATACTTTAAATAATATTTGATTGGTATGAGCCACATGATGATATCACTTGCTCTGTGCTTTACCAATGCATCTGAGTGTTTGCTGCACTGCCAGAGATTCATCATACATACATACATTCTGAAAAAGGTTATGGACATTATACAGTGACTTATTTCATAAAAGTGCATGTTTAAATAGATTAAGATTTGATCACAAGTCTTTTTTTTTTTTAAGAGAAAAATAAACCTCTATTTTCTATGTCTAAATATACACAGGTAGACTAAAGATGTTCTATTAAATTGTCTGCTTTTGAAAACTATATACTGATCCATCAACAAAAGGGTACAAAGTTGTTTTAAAATTCCCCTGCCTAGTGTAATCTCAGTATACTTTTTATTAGATTGCTTGGAAGAAGTTTACCTTACTATTCCTTTTTGGTGGTGGATACAAAGATGAAGTTGAACAGACTTGTCAAAAGGCATGCAGTAGTATTTATAAAATAGAATCATTTACATTTGAAAAGACCTTCAGGATCAAAATCAAGTCCAACCTACCATGTCCTGTAACTAAACCATGTATCTTAATGCCATGTCCATACATTTGTTAAATGCTCACAGACTCCAACACTTCTTTGGCAGCGTATTCCAATGCTTGGCCACCCTCCCCATTGAGAAATTTTTCTTTATAACCAATCTAAACCTCCCCTGGAGCAACCTAAGACTATTTCCTCACATCCTATCACTTGTGACCTGAGAAAAGAGATCAACACCCTCCTCGCTGCAACTTCATTTCAGGTAGTTATGGAAAACAGTGAGGTCTCCCCTCAAACTCTTTTTCTCCAGACTAAATAGCCTTAGTTCCCTCAGCCATTCCCCATGTATTTTGTTTTCTAGTCCCTTCACCCAAGAGCTTTGTTGCTGTTCTCTGCACTCAAGCAACTCAATATACTGCACTATCTGCTTGTAGTGAGAGGCCCAAAACTGACTCAAGGTGTGGTTTCACCAGCACTGAATACAAAGAGGCAATCCGTCCTCTAGTCCTCCTGGACACACTATTTCAGACACAAGCTAGGGTAGTATTGGCATTCTTGACCATCTGGACACACCACCAGCTCTTGTTCAGCATGCTGTCAACCAACACCCTCAGGTCCTTTAGTAAAGGACAACTTTACTGGGCAACTTTCCAGCCACTCTTCCCCAAAGCTATACCACTGTATGAGGCTGTTATGACCCAAGTGCAACACCTGGCATTTAGCCTTGTTGAATAATGTTACATGATTGGATGAAATCCACCAATCTAGTCTATCCAGATCAGTTCGCAGAGCCTTTCTACCCTCAAGGAGATCAACACTCCCACCCAACTTGGTGTCATCTGTCATTTTGGCTTGGAAGGGTGTAGATTTCTTCTTCCACTTAAAATTTCTGATTAGTTCAAGCCAACAATTGGAAAATAGTGGCACAGCACAAATACCTGTAAAATTAACAGTCTTACTGTTCTTTCAGTGACAGTACTTTGTAAATACAGAACACTTTTTACTGTAAATACAAAATACTTCGTGAATACAGATGGTACCTTGAACACCTCCAGCTTTACCTGAGAGACAAGAGTCATCTGGTCTTTGTCTGAGGTCAATTCCTTTTGTTCAGATGTAATTTTCTACCAAAATAGTGTGATTGGTACTCATTTGAAGGAGTAAAGTTTGGATAACTGGTGAAGCTTGCCAAACAATTTTGTGTGAGAACCGTCTTTAGTAGATAGAGTAAGACTGCTTTTTAAAAAGATAATGTAGATGAAAAAGAAAACCAATGACAACAACAACTCCTATGCTAGGTCTTTCAGTGCTTGATTATCTACATCCAAATGGTCACCAGGTACACACAGAAAGGTTTTAGGTTTTCAACCTGTATATACAAACGCACATACACCTCCACATGCATATCTACACAGATTTTTGCTTTAACTTCAGAATCATGTCACTTCCCAGACCATTGACCTAATTCTTTAACAATCTCTGAGTCTAACTTAAGGGAAATAATTATGCTGTAAAGTTTATATTTTTTACTTTAAGTGTAAAAGGCAAATAAACAAAGATCTACAGAAGACTTTTCATGTCCTAAACAGTTTTCTGTCTTTTCAGAAATTTCTGTCTTTTTACATATTTATACAGTTACAGCAGCAGAAGAATTTATTTATGATGTTAAAAAAAGTACCTCATTTAAATGCTATTCTACAGGCAACAGAGAAAGAAAGTCATATGTTAACACAACTTAAACTTTAGAAAATGGATAATGTCTTCACACAAGGTACTCTAGCTTATGGGTAACAGAATATATAATATGCAGAAACTTTAAAAGTACTACTGAGAGAAGAAAGGAATTAATAAAAAAAAAAAGTACAGCGGTATGTCTGTTCATTCTCGGTGAACTGGAATTTTAAATATCTAGTGTTTGTTCTTCTTTAATTATCGTTCTTCACAGATACAGGGCTTAGGCTGAACTGAAGTATGTGCTACAGAACCAGCGCTTCTACTAGCAACTTGCATTATATTGCCTGTCAGTCATTTTATTAAGCACCTACCACCTTTTTTATCACAGCAGACAGCACATGAATAAGAGTATTTTAGGAATTTTGAAAAGATTATTTTATTAATTTTTATAGTACAGATCTCCACAGGAGATTTAAAAAATTAAAAATGTACAAACCACACTCTCACTAGGTAGAATAAGACTCGTGTTCCTGATAGAAATGTTGGTTAGAGTCATAAGCAGAAAACTCAGTAGTAGCTATTCAAATTCCAGCTAACAAAGAAACACTATTCATAAAGAAGTAAACCCTGAAACCAGCTAAGTTTCTTGAATAGCTATCAGGGGAGCAAATCTTAAAGGCAGCGATGATCCACAAGGCTTCCATTTTGCTCAGTGTCATAAGATGATCAGTGCTATATCTTAATAGCTGTATTGAGCCCATTTCATAAGTGACAGGTTCCAAACAGTTTTAGAAATTACTGCCAATTTGAGTAGTGTACAGATGAAAGGAAACATTTCAAAAGCAAGAGGAAAGCTGGAGAATGTGAATTTATGGAGGTCTACATCCAAAAAAGAGAGAGCTAGAGAGAGAGAGAGAGAGTTTACTTAGATTCTGCTCACCTAGTTCTTCTCTGAGAAAACAAGATGATGAAATTATCCAGAATTATCCAGTCTTTAAGGATTGGTTACACACTATGAAATATAGACATCTTCAGCACTGATATCATCACTTCCTGTAAGCAGCTTGACCTACCAAGATTCACTAATTATGGGCACTGTAGTTTAACCCTAGCAGGAGGCTAAGTACCACACAGCTGTTCATTCACTCCCCCCAGGTGGTATGGGGGAGAGAATCAGAAAGGTAAAGGTGGGAAAACGAATGGGTTGAGATAAGGAGAATTTACCAAGTAAAGCAAAGGCTGTATGCACAAGCAATCCAAAACAAGGAATTAATTTGCTACTTCGCATTGGCAGGGAGATGTTCATCTACTTCTAGGAAAGTAGGCTCATCATTTGTAATGTGGTTTGTTTTTTTGTTGCTTTATTTATATTTTTTTTGGGGGGTGAGGGGGGAAGACAAATATTATCGCTCCAAACATCCCCCTCCTTCTTTGTTTTTTACCCCAGCTTTTATTGCTAAGCATAACATATGGTATGGAACATCCATTTGCTCAGTCTGGGTCACTTGCCCTGACATGTTCCTCCCAGATTCTTGTGTACCCACAGCCTGTCAGGCCAGCATGAAAAGCAGAAGAGTCCTGGTGTCTGCAATGACTAAAAACATTGATACACATCTGTTATCAATGATAACAGATGATACAACTGTTATTATCAACACTATTTTCATAAAAATCCACAACACAGCATTGTGTCAACCTCTATAAAGGCAATTAATTCTGTCCCAGCCAAAATCATGACAATAGGAGAGAAATACTTGCTATCATCTTAATATAAAATTGTAGAACAAGTCAAATGAATTGTGTTCTAAGAGTGCCTGGTTTTGTCTCTGAATACAAAAGAAGACTTGGATGACAAGTTCAGCTGTAGTTTCCTGAACTGCAGACATCTAAGATAATTGCATCCAAAGTACGAATGCATATCAACATGAGCTATGTTGAAAGGTTGTGCTAAAGAAATTTATCAGAAAATACTGGAAAGCTGATGAAATCTATAGTAAAAACAAACAAAAAATAGAAAGCAAAACAAACATTCAAAAAACAAACCAACAAACAAAACAATGTTTTGTTTTTGTTGTTGTTTATTTGTTTGTTTGTTTTATCAGAGTCTAATTGTTATGGAAAGAGGAGGATGTGTGAAAGACTTTTCATGAAGACACAAACTTTCAGATAATGTCCTGAAACTTCTCCACTTCATAACTAAATGTGAAAGATTCAAGACACAAATGTTTTGAATGGTATAATTTATGACACCTGTGCATCTTAAATAAATGCACATACTATATGTCTCCAACTTTTAGCTTGTAGCGATGACCTTCATGAAAGTTGTGCTATAGAATTTGATTTCTGAAAAAAAAAAAAAAAAAAAAAAAAGATGCCATAATATTCCTCCAAGCTTGCTGTCTGATTGAATATGTAATGTAACTCAAAATGTGAGAATGTCACAGGGCATCAGAGGAAAGGAACTAGAAATACACACAAGGACATATACCATTACAGCTTTGAGAATAATAGATTTCTATTTTTATTTTTTATATTTATACTGTGTTCCATCCTCCTTTCCCTTTTCTAATTAGCTTCCCTCCATAACTTCTCTTATAGCTCTTTAGCCTCTGGCTGGGATGACATGTGGAAAAATTCCTCTGAGGCCAATGTTAATGTGGTTCTCTGAATTGCCCCGTAGTAATGATAAAGTATTGTTGATGAAATCTCTCAAGCACAACACCTCCAGGATAATGGCCAGTGGGAAAGTAGTACAAGGAAGTAGGAATGACCTGAAGTTCATTTCCCTTTTTGTGTCAAAAAAGACTGATCCTATGTCTCTTCTGCTGTTCTTCATTTCAAGGTCAAATCAACATATTAAGTTCTAACTGCATTACATGATTATTCAATACATACTGAGATCTCTTGTACTTTCTAACCTTTATTACCTGTGTTTAACCATCACAAAGAAAATGAATCCTATGCTATTATATGTCTAAGTACAGAATCTCTGTGACAGTAAACAGTGACCGATGACTGGTTGACTGTTGAATCTGTTGGATGTTTTAAAAATCAATACCTTCCCAGCCTCTCAAAACAACAAAGCTTATGAGAGATAAGAACTGTTCCTAACCCTTAAGAGTCCACAATTCAGAATTCTCATCATTGTGCAGCATACAGTGACAGTGATTAAATAAATATTTAATATGTAACTTTTTATTTATTTTCTGGGAAACTCTTTTATTTTATCTTGTCCTGTTATGAAAAAAAAAAATCTTGTATATTCCATTGTAATATGCAAAACATAACTACTCTTTTGTTAGAATTCCTTTGATTCATCAGTAATGGTATGTAGATTAATAAAGGAATGTGCAACATATAGAAGAGCCTTTTCTCATTTCTCAAATGTCAATTACTTTAAATATTTGGTTAAAACTAAAATTAGCCATGAAATTTCCTTTCTAATTTGAAGTTCTCTAAAGAATGGATATGATATCTGAAATGCAGATGAAATGTATTTTCAGGTGGAAAAAAGGAATCATCTCAGAAATTTCAAGTCATAGTGCATACTGTATTCTTTCAGTATATAGGACTAGTGAATAAGAGCATATGAAAAAAATCAAGCAGCCATTATCATTACTGTCATCATCATCAGTCATCATCTCCATCATACAGGTTTGTGCATATGTTGCAAAGAAAAAAAAGAAAAAAGGAAATAATTAAAAAAAAAAAGGAAATCAATAAATAAAAGAAAATATAAATTAAATTAATAAAATAAAATAAAATAAAATTAATAAAATAAAATAATAAAATAGCATCAGAAGAAAAGGCTCCTGTTAATTCTAGATTATTGAATAACTTTAAATGTTCAGCAGAGTATCCCTCTGAATGAGCTATTCAAGGAGATTACAATACATCATCAGCTTTGTCATTAGTCTAATCAATATAATTACTTTATATGTGGTTCTTATTTATAGAGACAACCATAGGAAAGGTTATCAGCATCCCCTGTGTGAGCATTCTTCTGTCCCAATGGATGTACAATATGTCACCAACTGTCAGGCAGATCATCACTGACACACACAAGGCACAGTGACTGTGTGATTGACCTATGTAACATACTATATTCTTCCTGAAGAATGACCATGGGATTGTCAGAGATTTTATTGAGGATGGAGATTTGGTGCAAATTCCCTGATAAGTCAGTTAGACTGAATTACTTTTATGATGTATTCCTAAGGAGGCCCTTGGTAAAGATACTGATTTTACTACTTTTGTTTTCTATTAGTCTGCTTGTCAGGAGGCTCAAAAATACTTTTTTTTTCTTTTTCTTTTTCTTTTTTTTTTTTTTTTTTTTAAATAATTTATCCATAATCCTTACAAGAGTAAAGATGAGAGCTCTGAACCGCTGGAACTTTGTTGAAAACATTCCAGGCTGAGCATTAGCATTGCTATTTTCCAACATACAATACTAATAGAACTCTATTTTCCTGTAATTACAGTTCTCTAAACTTCCTGACAAACCCTAGTAAGCAGTAGGGGAAAAAAAGTTGTTGAAGCTGGCTTAAAATTTGATTAGAGACCTTGTGATTTTGAGAGGAAACTATAAGTGGAAAAATTCACATCAATATCATAGGAAAATACTATTTAGAAGAAGACTTTCACGTGCTGTTGTTTTGCTTTTTTGGCTTAGCGTTATCACAAATCACATTGTTTCTGTGTGTGCTGAGAGGGAAAATAATTGTGCAGTTAGGCTATTTCAGGGTTCCATGAGCAGAGCTACGTGAATGTTAGAAGATATCCACATACAGAGCTCCAAGAAAAAAAACATTTACCAGTCTTGGTGCAACCTTTATGTCCCAAAATTCCCTAGGTAAATTCAAAACAATATCAACAATACCTTATTAATGCTAAGCATTTAAGGTAAAAAAAAAAAAAAAAAAAAAAAAAAAAAAAAAAAAAAAAAGAGAGAGAGAGAGAGAAAGAAATTAGATTATTTCAGAAAGCATCTAACATCTAAATAAACATTAAAAATCTTATCTATCAAGGCCACTGCCCTATAATCCATTATCTCTGGCATCCACATGTACTTAAGAATTAGACACCAATATTTGTTGATGACTTTATGGGCATGTCATCAGTTAAAGCTGGTCAATAATTTCTTCAGACTTGGCTAGAATACTTAAATAGGAGTTCATCATAAAATGTCCCAGTATTAATATGAAAAGTCAAGTGCAGTGGTTTATGTTATGCATTTTCTCAAGCTTCATCTGTCAGAACAGAACTTTCAGGCTTTGAGTTTATTATCATCATCATCATCATCATCATCATCATCATCATCATGTTTTTGTTTTGGTCTTTGTTTTTTGTTTTGTTTACAACCTATATATAATGAGACATATTCTGTGTAACATTACTCTAAAAACATCCAACTCTGATATCTAAATAGAATGTTTAGAGTTTGCTATTGATTTTTTTTTCTTTAATTATTAGTATAAGATATGTAAAATACCAAACTGCCTCAAGTATATGCTCTGATAGCTTCCACAAAGCTTTTTTTCAAATATATATATATATTATATATAATATATATATATATATTTTTTTTTTTGCGAGAGGAAATTAGCTGCTAATTATACAGAGCAAAGCCTTTCCTATCAATCAAGCACACCTTAAATATTAAAAAAAAAAAAAAAAAAAAAAAAAGGAGACATAAAAATTAGCAGCTGTTGGATGGTAGGGAGACACATCTCAAAAATCAGTCTAGATATAGTCTAGACTGTGTGCTAAAGACCAGCAGAGGAAATAAGGTCTGTATAAAAATGTATAAAAATTCATATTTTCTAAATTGCATTAGGAAACAATTTTCATACCCATGGACAAGGTTTTGCTATAGATTATCATATCTTTTCATCTTATATGGCAAAGAGTTCTTCTCCTTTTTAAAAATCAGTTTAAAACACACTTCTGTGAAATTCCAAAGTAATTAACAATAACATCGAGCCAACACTGTGATAGACTACTATCAAGATATTTATCTAGTTTTCATTAGCAATGAAAAAGAACCTAGAGAACTATTTTCTATATAGAATTAGATTACCCTTCCTTGTTATACCTGTTTT